TCTGGGTTCAAATGCAGCCCGCAGAAGATGGGCGTGGCTCGCTCCGGGCGTTCCACTCCACAAGGGCCACCGTGCGTGATGGGTTTTTTTTTTTTTACCCGGCTAAGCCGTGGGACCGCTTGTCCCGAAGCCCACAGTGGAGCGGGGCCATTCGCAGTACGCGCAGAGACGGCGACCCCTTTCTTTCATAGCCAGTTAAAATGCAAGCGCCCCGCGAGTCCGGTGTTTTGGGGTCATTCCTCTGTGCCGGCCTGGGACACAGGATGCTCGATTCGTTGAGCACTTGGCCGATCCGGCAAACCCTCCCTAGATTTATTTATTTGTGTATCTGTATCTATAGATATATAGATAAAAGCTTTATTAAATTTTAAAAGGCAGAAAGATAAAAACTAGCACAAATTAATAATCAAGAAAAAGAGTAGAAAGAAAGCTAAAGACGGCAAGCAAAATGTGGGAAAATAGAAAAGGAGAAAAACAGAAATGCAAAAAGGACGACCTCCGTCGTCTTATACAGCAGATACAAATGAAACATAAAATAACCTCTCACTCTAAAACGACATCTTATCGTCCACGTTTTGCACAGCCTAATCATCAAATCCGTATATCATAACTGCGTTTTTTCCCCTCTTTGCCGCAGAAAGTCCAAAAGGGGCTTCCAGTTAGCATTAAAGTTAGTCACTGTTTTTTCTCTAAGCAAACTCTTCCTCCTAGATTCATAGGTGGTTTGAACGTTGATTGTCAGGGAAACTCTTAGGCAACCGCTTAAAGATATCACTTTCCATAACTTGGTCGTGACACACAATGTGAACAAGTGTTGCTGAATTTTTCTTAGAACTGCTGAAGCCTCCATAAGCTGTGGAAGGGTTTAAAAAACATTACAGATAGATGATTACTTCAAATGAGCAAAATCCAAACATCCTGTGGATTCTGTTTCATACCATGTGAAACTATGTCTATGTCAGGAGGCTGTTTATAACGTTAGATTGTCTAGCATGAATACAAGCCAAGGACTGGAAGAACTCATTAACTTTTGGAGCACCTAATCGTATATAATAAGAAATATAGAGCAAGCTTTTGAATCATACAGTATTTAAGATTTGGCCAAAGAGTCGTTCCATGTCAATTTGAATGGCTAGAATATTTCTAACTCCAAAGAGACTGGCTTCATGCACAAAAGCTATCCATGTATTTTTATTGCAATCATTATGCAATCAAATGTCCATCATTTAAAGAGTGGCATGAAGTACGATTTTCCTTATACTATGCTGCATAAAGAATCGCCACAGACTGCTGTTTTTCCTTTTGCATTTAATTGTTAATTGAATCCCATGCTTTACAATATTTAGCCTTCTATATCCAGAGGCAGATGCCACCTGTCTGCTGCTACATTTCTAAAGGTTGCTGACAGACAAACAGAGCAAAACAAGGTATATTATATTCTTGCTATGATGTACAGGGAGAATGAGACTGAAAACATATATGGGAAGAGCTATGCCACTGGAATGGGTCAGACATTTGGGCTGGGGAGACCCACATTCAAGTCCCCCTCTTGAGACCTGACAGGGTAATTCTAGGCCAGTCACCCTCAACCCCATCAATTTCATAGGGTTGCTGTAGTGGGAATACATTTAGGGGAGAACCATGGGGTTCTGAGAAAAGTCGTCATATAATGCATTGAATAAAGTCAATAAGGAATTCAAAATGATTCAAAATAAGAATTAAAAGGTTTTTAAAAAGCAGGTTTACATCTGGAATTTTCAGATGCAACTCTCCAGGTAGTCTTGATTTCTCCCTTTTTAGTGACCTTCAGCCTCATTACTGAACCTGCCCCACCCAGATCTCTCTGCCAAGAATTCTAGTCATTGATGACAATTCTAGGGGAGGGTTTTGCATATCCTGGCAATTCCCAGGTGACAATTGCTTGCTCACACCTTTGTAAAACAGGAGGCGGCCACAAGGGGGAGACATAGAGACCTAATGCATTGGTGCTGTAGGTAGGAATGAACATCCTTCATCATGCCAAGGGCCACGCGGCCATCTGAGACTGCGCTTCCAAAACTAAATGGGGCAGGACGAAAATGAAATTTGACTTGATTGAAAGGTTTAGTTAAACATAATGGCATGAAGCTTATGCCTACTTCCCCCATGTGCCACATTTCCCCCTTCTATCAAATTAAAATGCATGCACACAAATGCAAATTTTGGATAGAAAGTTTTGGAGGACTTCTGGGGGTCATGGGCAATGTTTTCCAAGGCAGCTGGACCTGGGTTGGGCAACCCTGCCTTAAGGAACTGAAACTGGGCTTAGTGAGAGATGGCAAAGGAATGGCTAGAGGAGGAGGATAGCTCTGTGTTTCTCAAAGAGCAAGGACATGATTTTTGTAAAAGCTGAGAAAACACTCAGGTTAAAATTCCCTAATGATGAACAGCAGGATGTTTGGTAGGACAGAAACGACAGCAGCAGCAAAACAACAACAGAGCAGCAACCCTGCAAGAACGAAAGCAGAGATTTAAGTCCTAGAGGCACGGCAAAACAATTCTTTTGCTTTCTGCTTGCAAAAACCACGGGAGGAGATAAGCAAACTAGTTTCTAGAATCCAGAGTTACAGCTCAGAAAAATCGGCTTCATGTAAACAAATGAATTATCTGAGATACTTCAAGATTCCTTCTCCGGAAATCTGCGGTCAGTACCGTTATTAGTTGGAGAATCATTATATTTTGGTACATAAATCGAATCATTATCATCATCATCATCATCATCATCATCATCATCATTGTGAACTCACTCCACAGACCTCAGAGCAATGTAGATGGCCTTCTCCCGATTTTATTAGCTTCCCAACTATCCTGCGAGGTAGATAGTGTTGATAGACAGACTGGTTGGCTTCAGGATGGCTATTTTCCCATACCACACTGAGGTGCAAACGAGCCAGCCTACATTTTAGCCTAGTGTGATTTATAAACCCAACCCACATATTCTCAAAGTTACAAAGAATCCATTCCTCTGTTATTTATATCTACCACTTACAAGCAGTACATAAAATATTGGTTGTACTATTTTTTTTAATATTCCCTTTTCCCCAAAAAACAGGGCAGCCCCAACAAGGATTGAAAGTTCCAGTTGCCTCCGGGTGAACCAAAGACATTTTAAAATGCTTCAGAGAGGCCTGCTTTCCCTAGCATTGCATTTATTGTTTTAAAATTTTCAGGGTGGGGGAGGAAACAGTGCAAAAGATATAGGCAAACTTTCAAAAGATGTTCTACTAATAAAACAAAACCCGTATCTCCAAAACCAACCCAGCCTAGCCCTGTTCAAAGTAGAAAAAGAGAAAGGTTTTGTTGCAAGTACACAGGTGGGTGGGTGCTCAACTCATCGTTCCATGTGATCACCCTGTCTTCGGCTTGAACATTTCCTTCCGATGTCCAATTGGTTTACATTATTCTGTTGAAAAGTGTCTGATGGTAATCTGCTGAATCCTTCAGTAGAGGCAGCGGGACTTGAGGCAGAGGAACATTCTGTTCGCACCCAATAACCTCATACGGAGGGGCAGTGTCTGTTGGGGATGAGGATGGCAAGGACATGGAAGGCTGATGTGGGTCCGGTACCCTAACCACATCCTCAGAATCCCTTCCCATTGTTCTGGTGGATCCCCTTTCCAAGGGATTGTTTATAGTCACATCATTCTGCTGACAAGGGTCTATCAGAGAATAAGGTGGAGGATCCTCTGTTGGAAGATAGATTTGGACTGCTCCAGGCCCAACACACTCATCATATCTGCAAGAAAGCAAAGCCGCTGTTTAGTTCAGCCCCTCATATATGGTAGTACAAAAGAGGTTCGATGGTTTAGTCGTACAGAGAAAATGAAGAGGTATCAAACAGCAAAACAAATACAGAGGGAAGAGTGAACGGGTGGAGAAGAAGGGGAAGACGGAGAAAGTTTCAGTAGGATGGAGTTAATGAAATCCTCAAAGAGGAGGAGGTGAGATGTTTTTTAAAAAAGGCAATATAAAAAATTGGTGTTGGGTGTAGTGGAAGGATGGTATGCAAGGATAAAAAGGTCTAGTGAATGGTGCTCATATAAAGTAGATTCAGCTCTATTTCCTTTCCTTTTTTCATATCTCCTGCCTTTAATTTCTTTTATTACCTCTTACTCTGCTTTGCACAAAGTTGAATTTCATGCAAGGGTGGCCTTAGGAAGAAAAGGGAAGGAACAGAATTGCATTGAGAATAGAAAGGAGAAAAAAAATGACTGTTTTGAGCATAGAACTGAGGAAAATGGGTCATCAGAACATGAACAGAGATTTACTGGATTCTCCCTGGTTGTAAATTCTTCCTCACAGTTGTAATTAATTTATAGAAACCCTGTTTGGTGAGTTATAGGAGCTGGTTTGAGATATCTGAAAATCAGCCAGTAGTAGGGGAATGCGCCCTTGAGAGGCCTTGAAAGCAATTAAATGTACAGGTAGTCCCCAGTTTAAGAACGAGTTCCATTCCCAAGGTCTGTCCTTGTCGAATGTGTATGTAAGCCGGAACAGTATTATTGTATCATACTGTATAAGTAGTATTGTATAATTAACTTGAATTATTGTGGATTTAACTCGAATCATTATGTATTCAACTTGAATTTTGCTACAACAGGCTCCGTTCTTAATTATGGGTTGTCCGTAAACCCTGCATTCTTAACCTGGGGATTACCTGTATTTGTCTATTTTTACACAAAATTATATTCTGTCCTTTTCAGGGGCATCAATG